CATCTTCATCTAGCTTGTGTCAAAATTCAGAAAGATCTAACGGTGTGAAGTATTCCATATGATACCAAACGTCTGACATTTCTAAACGAAACTGCATCTCCAAAAGTGTGTTTATAACCCAAAACAGCTCGTTTTCCTCCAAAGCAACCTAAAACCTGTAAAGACTCGATAAAAGACTAAAAGACTCTAAAAACACACTTTGACTCTATAAAAAATATGATGTAGGAAAGAAAACAAAGACTCAAAACCGATAAAAACACAACATATCAGAACACAACCGTGATCCTGATGAGTAAGTGTTTCAGCTTTTAGATAATTATTTCACATGTTGCAACCTATGTTATTTTGAGCTAACTTTGCTATTAAACCTTGCAGCTACGTGGATAAACACTTCTTGACATCTTGGTGGCAAGACACTTACTCACACAACATAAAACCTGTGAGAGGAGAAAGGATGTGGAAGAGACAAGGCAAAGAACCTATTCAGGTGCCTGAAAAAAGGAAGAAAAGAGGAATGCCAAAGAAGTATGCTAGGATAAAAGAGGCTCATGAATCATCAACAAATCCAAACAAGGTTACAAGACATGGGAGAACCATCACATGCTCCAACTGCAAGAGAACTGGACATAATAAGGGTACTTGTAGCAAACCTGCGCTTCAGCCATACCCTCCAAGAAAGAGGGGAAGACCAAGGAAAACTCAAGTAAGTATAGATAATGTGTTTCATAACTTGTGTTTTGTGTTTGGTTGTTATCTTAATTCAGTTTGCTTTTGTTATAGAATGATGATCCGTGGAGTATACATAATGCACCTAGACGGTACAGGGCAACTCAAAGCCAGTCCACACCAAATGTTCAAGAAAGCCAATCCACACCAACTGATCCACAACCATCAACAGCTCCACCTTCTACTACCAGAGGCAGGGGTCGTGGTCGTCCTCGTGGTAGCCGAGGCAGGGGCCGTGGCAGGGGACGTGGCAGGGAATCTGAAAAACTAAGACCTCCTGTGTTTTTCATGTCACCTTATACCAACAGTGTCTTTGATGTGTGGAGACCTCAGTAGTAGTAGGTTGCAGGATTCATCAAGACTATCTACTTATGTAGCAATTAAGTTGCAGGGATCCTTATTTTATCTGTTTTGAAACTGGTTTTATGTGTTGTGTTGTCTACTTTTGTATTGAACTTATGTGTTCTGTTCTTCTGTTTTGGATCCCAAACAATGGTTTTATGAATGCATCATTTTATTTTAGTCATAACATCTTATCATTACACCAAACAAGGAACATAACATCAGACTACTTGAGAATTGAAATGATTATGGCTATGGTAAGAATGAAACCTCCCCACGAGATTGCAAAGAATTGTTTTAGCAATTTTTCTTTCTCTTTCCATACATTTGTCTCATCTTCAAGCTTCTTCTTCTCTTCTTCAAGCTGGTTCTTTTCTTCTTCAAGCCTTTTCTTCTTTTCTTCTTCTTCTTCTTCGTTGCGGTTGAATCCCGATCTACTCAGAATCCTTATTTCTTCATTTTTTTGTTGATTAATTGCTCTAAGAGACTCTTTCAAAACCTTCAATTCATCTCTTGCCTCCAATAAGCTCAATTTTTGCTAATTGCATTGTTTCTCAACATCAGACCAAGAAACAAAGCCATGAACATCACATTTGAAGAATCTTCTTCCCGGATTCTCATCGGTCCATGATTTTAACTTGGTTGTAGATCTACCACATTTGCAAGAACGTCCCCAGCTCGCCTGTCCATAACTCTCCTGCCCGAAGCTCATCTTCCTGTTGTGAGAAATTATCTGGGGAGTCCCCTTTTGCGAAACCGTAACCTCATATCTCCCCCTTATAAACAGAAATTATTATTGATTTAATTTTAATTCGAAAAGTGTTGGTTTTACCAGTATACCCCAACCGAAATCTAAATATTACAACCAAAACCTGGATCTATTCGAACCAGACCCGAACCAGACTCGACCCACCCATAATCCGAATCTCTTCTCTTGATTCTCTGCGTATTAGGTTTTTTTTTGAAATCGAAAACTCAACTCAAACTCATATACACTTAGGGTTCATTCCTTCGGAGAAAAATCTTCTTTCGACGACGATCTTGGTATAACTACAGATCGATTTATTTCTATTTCTTCAGAGTCAATCTTGGTATAACTACAGACAACTACGTTATTGGGAAAGGTAAAATCGAGTTTTTATTTTGGGTTTTGCGATTGAAATCGATTGAAATCGAGTGAAAGTCTGCGAAAATCGATTGTTCGTTATGTTTGTATAAAATCCGAAGAGATGGAGAATGTTAGTGGTAATAGAATCGATTGAAATATTGAATGGAAGTACTAATCTAAATGATTTTGTTTGTAGGTTTGTGGAAGGGAGTTATGCCTCGAACAAAGAACGCAAATGTATCTTTAAGGAGTGCCACCGCCGGCAGTGGTGGAATCTGAAGCAACAGATTCAATCTCTAACGTGGTTGCAACGGTAAGAGCCAATCTTGAAGAAGTGCCACCGCCGGCGGTAGTGGAATCTGAAGCAACAGATTCAATCTCTAACGTGGTTGCAACGGTAAGATCTCTAAAATTTGGACAACTAGCAGAACTAGGTATAAGTTTGTTGCTTGTGTCTCTTAGAAATTTCTGAAACTAAAAGGTAAAACTGTGATAATTAGGTATAACTAACGTGCATTTATAACTTATAAATATCTGAAACTAAAAGGTAAAACTATGAATAACTAGGTATAACTATGCTGCTTTTGCTTTTATAACTTAGAAATATCTGAAACTAAAAGGTAAAACTATGAATAACTTGGTATAACTATTCTGTTTTTCTAACTTAGAAAGTTTTAAAACTAAAAGGCACAACTGTGTATAACTTGGTCCATATTGATTGCAGGATTCTAATGAGGAAACTGAAGCTCTACAACCTTTTAAAATGTACTTCAGTCCGAGTGAGTATACAAAGCCATTCAAGATTTCAGCAAAGTGCTATATTCATAAGGTAGTGGGCTTATTGGAGACTAATCTTAGAGGAAAGGAGTTGAAATGGTTTAAGGAACACCCACAGTTCCGACACTTCTTCCACATGCACAGGGACGCAAATCATAAGTTGATGGGTATGTGGCTGTTATTTCTTCGCACAGCATGTTTAGAGAAGAAGCGCGAAGTTTGGTTTATCGTCAACGGGGTTCTGATCCGCTATTCTCTCAAAGAATTTGCTCTCATGTCAGGATTATATTGTCACCAATATCCGAAGTCCTATGAAACCAAGGGCAGCATGGAGTTTGTTAGCAGGATATTTGGACCTTGAGCAACAATAAAATATCAAGATGTGGAGGAAAAGTTCCTATCAATGAAGAGATCTTCTGATGATCGTTTGAGAGTAGCTGTGTTGTACTTCTTAAGCAGCATCATCGTTGGAAAGACTAAGACAGGAGACAAGGCACCAACTGTGGAGAAGTTTTTCCAAAGGGCTGTGGCTGATCTAGACTTGTGCGAAACATTCCTGTGGGGGAGATATGCATTTGATCAAAATCTGAAAGACATTTTCTATATAATGGAAAAATGTGAAGGAGTTGTTGGTCCACATAAAGTGTTTCCTAGTTTCGTTATGCCTCTGGAGGTATGCATTATTCATCTCTTAAATTTTTATAAACTCGGTATAAGTAAGAGTATATTAGCAGTTATACAACTTAGTTTTGAATGATCTTTTATTTTTTGCAGCTTCTAGCGTTTGAGTCAATTCCAGTTCTCAAGAACACCTTTTGCGTCGATGTGGGATCAGCAGATCCTAATTGTCCTCGGATGTGCAAGACAAAGTTTAAACCAAGTACTATGAAAGGTTTTCCTATGTCAGATGTGTATGACAAACTCGGTACAACTAAGGTTAGTTAAAATCTGAAATGCAAACTAGATAACATGTTTATTATTTATGTGTCATGGAGGTTGTATTAATTAGATTTTTTTATGATGCACAGGACATTCAGAGTATCTTGACTCCATCTCCTGCTGAGGAACAACTTTTGAAAAGCATTATGGATGTTGAGCGTGGATGGAATGATAAAGATGATGTAGTTGCTGATGGTTGGCACAAGCGTCTAGTTGATGAGGGAATGAGTATATTTTTTGAAGAGAAATTCAATGAAGATGTAGGCAACCGAACATTTGAGGAAACTGTGATTATGCCCACAAGAAAAGGCCGTCGGGGAAAGAAAGGCAAAGAGAAAGTGACTGAGCCTCCGAATGATGCAAGTAGTGATGGATTGGCTGAGCTTGTGTACACGTTGAAGACAACGTTGGAGAATGGATTTAAGGATATGCATGAGAAGATGATGGATCTCAGTAAGAAGTATGAAGACCAAGATACAAGACTCAAAACTATGGAAGCAACAATCCAATCAATCCAAGTCAGAGTTAAAAGTGGTGGTGCTAAAGAGAAAGAGACGGATCTAAATCCAGATTTGGTTGACTATAGTGATAAAGAGGATGAGGTTGGAGCAAACCAAGTGATGGCAGTTCAAGATGAGAGTGGTAAGGATGGACCAAATTCTGAAGAGTTAACCAAGGAGAATGAAGGTGGTGAAAAAGTGATGGAGAAGGAGATGGAAAAAGAAGGGGCTGAAGATGATGAGATGGAGTCGGAGATGGAAAAAGAGGATGATGTGGATGGTGGTACTAAGGGGAGTGAGGTTGGAGAGATAGAAAAGGAGATTGAAAAAGAGGGTGATGTGGATGGTGGTACTAAGGGGAGTGAGGTTGAAGAGAAAGAGAAGGAGATTGGAAAAGATGATGAGCCAAGTAACAATGAGAACATGCTTAAAATGACTTACAAGAGATGTGAAAAGAGAAAAAGAATTAGCAAAAATGAAGTGGATCCAAAAGAACAAGGGAAAAAGGCGGATGACAATGTTGATGAACCAAGGCAAGAGGACGCTAAGAAGGTAAAGTTGATAAAGAAGAATGCAAAGAAGGGGTCTACCACCGTTGTGTATCGGAGTCCTATTGTGACGAGGACTAAGAAGAATTAAGTACCGTTGTGTATTGGAGTCCACCACTGTTTTTGAAAACTCTTTAAGATGTTTTGTTTTGTCATGATCTTGAATTTGGTTGTTGTTTTATTTTGGTATAACTCTGTCGGTTTTGAAAAACTAGGTACAATTGTGTGAACAAAATGGTTATTGTTTTATTTTTGGTATAACTTTGTAAAACTAGGTACAACTGTGAACGATAAATATGTACAACTGCATCGTTTTGTTAAACTAGGTACAACTGTGAACGATAAATATGTACAACTGCATTATTTTGTTAAACTAGGTAAAATTATGTACTTTGTTCATTGGTATATTTATTAAATGTGTACAACTGCTTTATTTTTGTTAAACTCGGTAGGAATAGATAGGAATTACTAGGATAAATATGTTTAGTCATACAAATACTAGAAGTCACCAAATACATATTTTTGAGACAAGTAGAACTACAAAGTAGTACCTTAGTTGTACCAAGTTACAAGAACAATTGTGAGAAAACAACCAACGATAAAGGGTACCATCATCTTAGTAATTTCCTTCGTCTCTTTCTTTCTCCCCATCTTTAGCAGTGCAACTTCTTCTTCAAGAACACTAACTTGAAAATCCAACTGTTCTACCTCATTTACCAATGTCTCGTCCACCCACTTGAAGACATGGGTGTCGTTCATAAGCTACATTCAAAAATTAAAATAGAATTAAGAGAACGTGATCTTACTCAAAATATTCACAAACTTACAATGAGACTTTTACGTTTCTATCATACGCATATTTGCATCGGTAGTAGCGGCGGTAAGGATTTGGGACTGATTTAGAGATCTTTTCAACGATCTCGTCGCCACACCTACACCTCTTTGGAATCCCAGCAACTCTTACTCTGGTTCGGTTTGAGGAGGTTTCACTCGAGCTCGGAGCGGAAGAGACATGGCTCATCTTTCTTCTATAGAAGATTTAGGGATTTAGTGGGTTTGGGGTTAAAGAAGATTTAGGGATTTGGTGGGTTTGGATAATAAATTGGAGATATTGAGATGTAATTGGGAGGATTTTAAGGATTTCGTGGGAGCTGGGGTAATAAATAAAAGGGTTGAAATGATTTTAGGGGAAAAATAAAAGAAATTGGGTTCATTCGAAAATTTTGGGTATTTTGGAGGGAAAAGAGAAAATTTTGGATATTTGGGGCAAATAACACGTGAACCACATGGCGCCGTCATTTGTACACGTGGCGCCGTCATTTGTACACATGGCGCCGTCAAATATACACAGTTTTTCAAAGTTTACAAGTTGTACTCGCTTACACACAGTTGGACTTTTGGGGTTTTTCTGTATAATTAGTTATTCTTGGATTAATATTAATTTTTATTAGTTGTACACATGATTTTATGTATATGTGGTAAATTCCAAACATATTCATTCAATAATATGTGTAAAATGTTTATTTTTCAGACTTTCGACATTCACCATGGATATTCAAAAGAAAGACATCTTAAAAGTATAAGAACTTTCATGTAGAAAGTTCAAATGTGTAAGATTTTTGAAAATTTTATTTACCAAATTTTGATTACAAACCACTAATTTGATTATGTAACACTAAGTTGTCTATTTCATTACAACAAGCATTGTGATATAATTTTTGAATTTATGAAGATTTGTTAATTTCTTCGTAGTTATACCAAGCCAAGTTTACCCAAGTTTTACAAAATCAAAGACATACATAGTTGTACCATTACGAAACCAAGTTTTACCAAGTTTTACAAAACCAGAGAATACATAAAAACACGAAATCAGAGACATACATAGTTGTACCATTACAAAACCAAGTTTTACCAAGTTTTACAAAACCAGAGAATACATAAAAACACGAAATCAGAGACATACATAGTTGTACCATTACAAAACCAAGTTTTACCAAGTTTTACAAAACCAGAGAATACATAAAAACACGAAATCCGAGACATACATAGTTGTACCATTACAAAACCAAGTTTTACCAAGTTTTACAAAACCAGAGAATACATAAAAACACAAAATCAGAGACATACATTGTTGTACCATTACGAAACCAAGTTAAACCAAGTTTTACAAAAACTGAGAATACATAAAAACACAAAATCAAATACTATGGTTGCCAAATAACAACCATTGCAGCGATTGCCTCGGCCTCCTTTTGTTTTGAGTCCTTTGACGTTTTGGACGCCTTTCTCCTGTGGATGGAAACCTCAACACTTTTGTTCTACCCTTCTTCTTTTTCCGAGGCAAAGGTAATACCTTCAACTCTTTGATCTCATCTGGGATATCCCACTGTGACTTATCCGGGACTAAATAAATAGTCCTATAATACGCCAATGCCCACATCTCCGCCCAATAATACTTTGAAACCAATTCATGTATTTCCATACTTCGAGTTCTTCTTGTATCGCTCTCGAAGGCAATGAAACCGGCTAGTGCATGCACACAAGGATACTTTTGGATATCGAACACCTTGCAACTGCAAGTTTTCAAGAGCAAGTTTACAAAATATTTTTTCCCTTCACTACCCCTGACATTGTATTCAAGCTGGAATGTGTTTAGCTCCGTCACTTTTAGTTTCTCAGCTTCAACCCATAAATCATGCAAGTAGTTCTCCACTAAAGGCACCAACTTATTCTCATTAGATCCTGACGCGGCTTCTTTCCGATGTTCATTAAACCAAACAGAAATCTTGGACATGATCGCATCAAGCATGGGTATTAAAGAATACTTCCTTGCATTGAGGAAAACAGAATTCAAAGATTCCACACAGTTGCTTGTGTCCAAATTGTATCGCTGTCCTCTGAAACAACACCTAGCCCATTTCTCTTTCACGGTTGTATCCTCCAAATAATTGGTCGCAGAAGGATATCTTAGCTTAAAAATTCTGTACTCCCTCTCGAATTCAGCCATGGTGTAAACCCGACTTAACTCCATGAATCTCCATGCGACTACGTCTCTGTTGACGTTAGTGGCATGACCTTTCACATTTTGGGATAAATTCCAAATACAATACCCGTGATGAGCCGCGGAATACACATTACGTATGCCTTTGATGAGGCTTGAATTTCTGTCACTCATAAATACCAATTCTGGAGTATCGGGTACAACTGTTAGCAGCTTCTCGAAGAACCATCCCCAACTAGCATCATTCTCACTGTCGAGTACGCCAACCACTATGATATAATGATGACGATTGAGTCTTGAGCTGAGGCAAATACTAGAACACCACCATATCCGTTCTTCAAATGTGTTGCATCCACAATTATCACTTTCCTCATCACTTGAAAGCCTTCAATGCTAGCTCCCAAAGCTATGAATAGGTACTGAAATTTATCTTCCTCATCCAATTTCAGATATGTTATTGTACCTTCATTTACCTTCTTCAACATGTACAAATAACAATTGATATCCTTGTAGCTATCTTCCGCGCTACCTTTTAAATCACAAATGGCTTGCCTTTTCCCTCTAATTGCGGTGGAGTACGATATCTTCACACCTAATTTCGTCTGAACAAGCTCCATGATAACCTTAGGAACTGGAGTTTCCATTTGTCCTGGAAAAGTATCATGAAGAAGAGCTGCTACTAATTCCGGAGTACCTTTTCTCTTCCTCATCCTTGTACTACTCTTACTTATCCGGGTACAAGTATGCATCTTGTTGTACTTTCTAATCGAGTAAATACTTGTATTCCGAATATTTGAAGCTCGTATACGCCAAGCACAACTTTCTTTAGCACACATTAGCAAATACCGCTCCTTATCAGACTTTTTAATAACATAACCAAAACTGTTAGCAAATGCACCTTTGTCCACCACTTCCTGCAATGCCGCCCTGCTTGGAAATTCTTGAAATAAATTCAAACCAATACCGTCTTCCCATTCTTTTTTAAACTGACCAGCTTCTACAACAGTTGGTGGCTCAACGTATTTATCACCCCTATCATCATGTATATCCATAGATTCATCTTGTGATCCAATCTCAGCATCTTGAGTCTCATCAACCTCCACTATTGCCTCTTTTGGTTCTGTTCCTTGTTCCTCACATTCGCACAAAACGATGGCAGCATTATCTCTCATTTCATCCTCATAGTTCTTACCAGCAGAACTTTTATTGATGACCTCCACTCTCGACAGTTGCTCGGACAATTCTGGTGGAGTGATGACCTCCACATACAAAACATATCTACGGTTATTTTCAACTGAAGATATATAGACACCGACATCCTCATCATCACAAATGTAAATCTCTTCAGTTGATCCCAACAACACTGCATTATACCTCAGTTGCAATTTAACCTTACTTTCATCTATCCCAAGCTTCGTGCATATCCTACCTACTAACATGGAGAGAGTTATATTCTCCCCTGATGTCTTCATCATCAAGGTATACATGCGACCTTTGCATTTAAAATATATGTTCACGTTCTCACTCATTGTATCCTGCAAAAACAATACAAAAACTCTGTCAGTTATACTAGTTTTACTAGTTGTACTACAATTCTGGGTAATACTAGTATAACTAGTCATACTACATGTATATGGGTACTACTAGTGTAACTGGTAATACTACATGTAAATGGGTAATACTAGTGTAACTGGTAATACTACATACACCTGGGTAATACTAGTATAACTAGTAATACTACGTATATATTTTTCAATAGATTCAGGTACATTTCTACCCAGTTCTACCAGTTGTACTTTCGCGACAAGAACTCAAATCGAATGGTTTCGGGTTCAAAACTACAATTCACTATGATTCAGTTTTTGCTATCCATTTCTTACCCATTTACAGACCTATTCGACCCAGAAACTATGCATAAACTTCCAATGTGCATACCCAAACACAATTTGCTTAATTTCAAATCTAATTGGATTCAATCTCCTATATTTCTAAATCCAAAACTTCAATTTGAAGCTCTATGCAGCTCAAACAACATACATTTTCTCTCTATCTCGACGCAGCTCGCCGGAGGAGAGGATACGGCTGCAATGGCGACTGAAATCAATTTTTCCGGCGAGGAGAGCTGGAGCTCGAGAGCGAGAAACGTTTTTTTTTTTTTTCTGTTTTCGATTTTTTTTTTATTTCAGAAAATAATTAATTATAATGAAAAAGAAAGAGAAAGGGATAAATCGTCAGATCACATTTCATTAATTGAGAAGGGGATATGTAGATAAAAAAGGGATATAAGAGGTTTATGGTTTACAAAAGGGGAGTTGTGAGACATTCTCTCCCCTGTTGTTAGCATCAGATCTGGAGCTCTGACCACCTGACATTTTTTTTTCTTCGTTAACCTGAAGAAGCTTAAGAGAAGAGAAGATATAAAGAAACGAGAGGGTAAAATGGGGATTTTTTTTTGGCCAATTAAACACGTGCAAAGGAAAAGGGCAAATCGTAACAGTGTTTACGATTTCGTCAACGGCCGTTAACGGCGTTTCAACGTCGGGAAGGAAAACGGAGAAAACAAATACGTCAGGGTTTTTAATACAACTCAAGAATAAGCCGGGTTTTATTCCGGCAAAGAAAAAAGTTTGGGAAGGTTTCTGGCAAATATTAAATAGTTGGGGTTTTTTTAGGGAATTTTCCCAATTAAGATTTGGAGATGGAATTTTTTTTTTTCCAATATTGATACTATTGATATAATGTGTAGAGGTAGAAGCTATGTGCTTGTACAAGAGGAGAGCTTATGTGATTCTCCTTTGAGTTCCAGTAAGCATTGAGGTGCACCGTACCACATATGCTAGCTGATGAATGTCTTTTGATAAAGCACAAAAATTTTCTTTCTCTATGTAGGTACATATCTCAAAAGAACTAAAAAAGAAGACAAGTATTTGCGGCAGAAAATGCAAAGTTTATTATCTATGTTAAAAGTGTGACTACAAAATTAAACGACAAAGACTTTCTGTAACCAAGAGCTCCAAAAGTCTAATCAACAAAGAAAGCAAAACGAAAAAAGAGATACACAACACCAAACTGAAATGAAAGAATCGTAAATACAAAACACAAAAAAAAAAAAAAGATACACAACGCATTGTGGCTTTAAAGGATAGAAGAAGAAGAAGGATTTTACAAGTGTGAAATATGGTAAATAAGAAAACCCCAGTCTTGACTTGATGTCTTTTAATCATAAGGTTGAACATGAGGCTTTTGAGTGCCTTAGAAGCCTCTTTTTTTTTTTTTTTGTCTAGAGTCTTTGGCCAGTCATGATATTCTCGGCTGCCGAGAGTCCAGATAAAGTAACTTTCTTATTTGGTTGTAAATGTGGCCACTTGCAGTATGTTTTAGCAATTGGTCTGGTCTTCTTGGGAACAATAATGGTCCGACTGGCTTGAGGTCTCCTTAGCTCGTTGGTATTCCGGTCTCTTTGGTTCTTGACGTCATCTTTCTGGAAAATGATTTTGTTTGCGGCTAAGTCCTTATGAGACAAGATTCGTTTGTTTTGGTGGTTGTCATGGTTCTTCTTGAATCTACCCCGAGAAGTCTCCAATTCTTTTAGCATATCAAGCCCCTTCTATTTTTGTTCCGAGCTGGAACTGGTCTGGTATCCCATCCTAGAAATCTTGTTTGAGCGAAGTAATAAGTTTCATTGATATCTTTCTCTGATATTGGTGTTTCCAAATGTATCTTAGACACCGTCCACTTTTCCAATCTTCTCAATTACTTTCTCTACATACTTGTTAAATTTTTGGTGGAGTCATAAGGTCCATAAGTACATATAAAGCTGCTTGTTCCTTCTCGTCTTGGTTCGGCTCCAACTCCACGTCCTCATCAAGTATAGTCGGTTCCAAACTCTCCATTGAAATCACATTGACAGTGTCAACCGAGAGATCATGGGTGATGTCTTCACGAGTGTGGGATGTTTTCTTGATTTCCCTTGATGTTATTTTCAGCACAAAGTTCTAAGATTCAATGTAAAAGTCCTCCCCTC